GCCACTTATTAGCTCTGTGATTCTGAATGATTACTTAACTTCTCTGAACCTGTTTCCTCCTCTGCAAATTGGAGGTAGGGGTGGGGAGAGGGGGGCTTCCTATCTCATGGGGCCATTGCATTCTAGAATGCCTAGCGCAATGCCAGGTACATAGTTGGTGTTCTTATAACAGCATTATTGTTGTTGCTATAATCAGAACATCTCTGTTTAAAAGTTCTTTCCTATAATGAGTCAAGTTCTACGTCCTATAATCTCCTGTGCTAGTCTTAGTTTTGCCCTCTGTGTTAGCCAGAATAATTCTCCTTCCATAGCTGTTGGCTTTAAGAAGACTGGCATGTCCCCTGCAGCTTCCCATTCTCCAACCTAAATATCCTCATCTTCCCAAACAGGACATGGTTCATATGAGTGCTTCCTTCATTCTCCCAGCCCTCTCCCTTAGTCGTGTTCCTGTTTGTCACTGTCCCTCTGCATATACAATGTCCAGAACTGGACTTGGACCTTCTGTAAGTGTGGAGGTCATGCCTTGTTCCTGTTACATCATCACCCTAAATTATGACCTCAGCCGCCCAAACTCTTTGATCAGAGTCTTTTATTCTGTCTTCCTCATTCTAGCCCATGCTTCCAAAGCTGACACCTCTTTCCTGGTCCTTCTTTGTGGACTTCCCCTCTGGCCTTTCTCATAATACCTTCTAGCCCACTGCAGTCCTGATCCGACATCTGATTCTAATCATTCTCCCATTCCTTCTCCAGACCTGGAGACCGGTCTGGGTTGGCCTCACACCCGAACAGGTGCGATGCTCCTGAATACCCCCAGAAGGCCATGCTGCTTAACAGATCCATCTCTCTCTCCTCCCCCACTGGTATCTGTTTTCCAAGAGTGAACAGCAGCACTGCCAGCTGATCTGCTGCTTGCTGCCTCCAATGCCTCTTCTAATGTCACCACCGCCTCTGCTGTCTGCCGCTCTCTTCCCTCTTCGGGCCACATTTTTTCTCCTTGTTATTTTCTGCTCTCTCCTTTGCCTGCCACTACTGAATATCTCAACTTTGGCTTCTCAGGAACCAAAATCCCGCCTTCTGGCCGGCAAACCAATCACACATATTGTCTGCCATCTCTACATCTTTGGTTCAGCCCAGCTATTTTGGTCCCTGCTCGCACTCTGAGATTTTTCTCACTTTCCTCTGGGTTTACACCTCTTTCAGCACTTAAAGGGTGATAGACATCTTAGAGTTGGTTAACTGAGCTATAAAGGTCAGACTTCTGACACAACTGGTGATTGGCTAATGGATCTAGGTGTCAAAAGATGGAAGGTAGGTCATTGTATTTAAAACAGAATGGGGCTTTTTTCCTTTTGTGGATTTTATCTTTTTTTTTTTTTTCAGATAGGACAATGGAGCCCTATTGCCTCATCAAGCAAAGAAGTCAAACCACAATAGACTGAATTTCAGCAAATGTTTTTCTCAGCCTCTAACAGACACCAAGAATTGTGCTTGGTGTTTTCATGTGTATTACTCATTAAGCCTTCCCAGGATGAAATCCCTTCCTTGGTACCCAGGCAATGCCTCCTGGACCCACTGTTTGTTCGTTTGTTGGTTCATTCATTCATCCAGTGATGATCTGTTGTGCCAGGCACTGTTCTAAGTACTGTAGCAAATACAGGAATAAACATGACAGTCTCTGCTCCTCAGGAACTCAATCTAGTGGGGAAAACATATCAACCAACAGGTAGGGTGCACTGTGGTAGCTGCATTTAGAGTGGCAGAGAAGTGAAACAGTGCAGGAGTAAGGATGGTACCCACTAGTTCTGCAAAGAGCTAAGGAAGGTTTACCAATGGAAGTAACATTTTAGCTAGACTTTGAAGGATGGGTTTGCTAACGTGCATAAAGAGAATGGGTTTTGTAGGCAGCAGGAACAGCTTGCGAGTATGCAAGGGCAGGGAATGTTTTGGAACTGGTATGACTGGAGTATAGAAGACTTGCATCAACATCAGGGGCTTCTGCCCAGAGAAGCCAGAGGACTTCCTGGGTCACAGAGCAAGTGAGTTCATTGCAAAGACTGGGTTCAGTGGCAGAAGTTTGAATTGTCTGGTCCCTGGCCTCTTAGCCTCTCTCCCATGTACATGCAGGTCCAGTCTCAATGCTCTGTTCCCTGGCTTAGAGCTGTCAATGACCAGCCCCTCCCTCTCCCATTTCCCTTCTTAGTGGTCTGCCCCTGAGCTCTGAGGATTGTTCCCAGTGAACCTGGGAGGGAAGCAGAACTTAGAGAAGGCTGATCCATTCTAGTGTTTGGTCCTGACCCGGACATTTGCCTGGGACCAGAGTCCTTAGATCCCATCTCCTGATGCTGCAGAGCTAAATTCTGTGACCTTCATAGCACATCCTGTTTGGCTTTGAGCCACTCCTTGCTTGTGTATCCCAGAAAAGGAGCTGGGTAAACCAGGTTGCCCTTTACCAAAGAGGAGCTACTTTCAATTCCCCAAAGTGTTCAAAGGCTTAAGAGTAGGTTTATGCCAAAAGTTTCCTGTTCCTTATCTCTGGCCATAAACAGTAATGAGAGCAGGAGGGGAGAAGATTCTTAATCCTGTGCTAGTTCAGAGGTGGGTGCTCAAAAAAATCCTCAGTTGGCTGCTTGGTTTCTCAGCAGTATCTGTCCAAAAATTCCCACGCATTTCCCAAATGCCATAATTCATTTTAGTTGGATTTCTAGAGAATAGACTCCACAGATAAGAAGGAATTTGATTTATTTTAGATTTGTACCACACCTCTTTCTGAAAGGGTTTGAGACAGCGTACAGGTTGAAACAAGGTTTTTAAGTAAGACTTTTAAGGACGAAATAAAACTTGTGGTGAAAAAGATTAAGAAAGTAAGTTACTTCCAAGCATAGCCATGTTCCATATTTAAGCCATACTTTTGGTTGAAAGATTCTTTGGGGAAAAGGCCAAGAGGGGAAACCACTGGGTGACACAGTGTCCACTTTCTGAAACCAGAAAGCATACAGCATCTCCATAGGGAAGGGGCTCCTGGGTGGCTCAGTCGGTTAAGCGTCTGACTTCAGCCTAGGTCATGATCTCGCCATTCCTGAGTTCAAGCCCTGCGTTGGGCTCTGTTTGACAGCTGAGAGCCTGGAGCCTGTTTCAGATTCTGTGTCTCCCTCTCTCTCTGCCCCTCCCCTACTCATACTCTGTCTCTCTCAAAAATAAACATTAAAAATTAAAAAAAAAAAAAAGAATCTCCATAGGGAAAACATTTTCCTAAAGCTAAAGCTTGACAGGAAGAGCTGTGTTTGCGCCTAAGAAAGCCAAGTGAGGGTGAAGAGTACACAGTTCATGTCAGCTGTCAGTCCTCCGCCTGCGGTACTCGCGGTGCTCCCGGTGCTGTGTGAGAGATGGTCATATCCATAGGCCACCTAACAGCAAGCAGACTGGACCATGACAGACACACTGCCCTCCACAGGACCATCAGGACTGGCTCTCGGCCCAGGGAGAATGTGGGAGGGTGTAGTGACTAGATTTCAAAAGGCAAAGAAGTCAAAGACCAAGTTTTCTACCTCGATTTTACAAAAGATAATAGAGACACCATCCCCAGCAATAGCAAACACCTTTGCGTGATTATGTGTCAAGTGCATTTGTTCATTTTACCTTAATAACAATCCTGAGGAGGAATTATTGTTTACATTTTACAAACAAGGAAATTGATGTTCAGTTTACCTGTTCGATCTCAGAACTAGGTGCCTCTTTCCCACTATATGCCCTATTTATTCAACCCAATAATTCATGTCTTTTTAAGTTTATTTATTTTGAGAGAGAGAGAGAATCCCAAGCAGGCTCTGTGCAGCCATGGCAGAACCTGACTTGGGGCTCGATCTCAGGAACCAACCACGAGATCATGACCTGAGCCAAGAGGGTTGGATGCTTAGCCCAATAATACTTAATTGGGGTTTCCATAAAGACAGGGAACATAACATGACATTCTGGCCGGGAGGATGTGGTGCAGGAATGTAATGCTTTGATGACATAATTTAATCTGGGAGTAGAAGCTGAGACCTGGATGATCAATGGGTAACTTAGCTGCCCTGTCATGTCCATTTCTAGATGATTTATTTGAGCTTCTTGGCTGATCCTAGGCCACAGTCAACTCACAAGTGATTCTCTGTAATTTGCCCACTTTATAAACAGATCATTGCATACCGCCTCCCTCCATGTCTCTACTTTCCAGCCCTCTCATCACCACGCTCCCCTCCCCCCAATTCCCATCATTTGAAACACAAATCAGGATGTGCCGTGCTCCTGACATCTCCTGCCATTGCACATGCTTTATCCTTCAACACTTCTCAGATCCCTCTCCACCCGGAAGCCTTCCCTGAGTTCCCCTCTCTCCCTGTCCCCACCCCATGTGGAGAAGGCACCTCCCCTTTGTTCTCCCATAAAGCCCTGTACATACCTGACTTTTAGAGCTACGTTTTCATGGTGGATTTACTTGCTGGTCTGTGAGCAACTAATGCATCTTTATATCCCCAGAGCCTTGCAAGGTGCCTAGGGTGTAGGAAGTGCCCAGCAGTGTTTATTGAACAGACATAATGAGCAGCTACTGTGTGTCACACACTTCTGGGCACTGGATATAGAGAGATGGGTAGAACACAGACCCTTCCTTTGAGGCACTCAGAGTCTGGCACGTGAAGTCATGATTAGAGCCCAACATTGTAAGATCTATACTATCTATAAGAGGGGACTTAGGGAGCACAAAAGAGGAAGAAAATAGCTTAGTTTGGAGAGTGATGGAAGCCTTCTGGAAGTGGTCACTTATAAGCTGAACCTTAAAACAATGAAAAGATTTTTGCCTGAGGAGTATCCCAGGGACAGGGGAAAAATGCACAAAAGCATAAAAGAGATTCAGTGTTTGGAAAAGTGCAAGAAGTACTGATATCCTTTGCCATAATTTGGAGCAAAAAACATGTTCTAGATTTCAATATGAAAGACGTTAAGTTGTCGCGCTATTGTAGATGTTAAGGCTTTAGTGTTGTGTTTTATTTTTAATCAGTCAAATGCATTTTATCACAAGGCAGTAAAGATGTTAGTCACCTTAGATGAAATAAATAATAACTTATTTATAGTTTCTGGTCTACTTCCTTCCCAAAATGGTTTGCTTTGACTTGTAATAACAGACACATCCACAATAAGACTTGTTCATATAGAAACAAGCAAAAATTACAAAGGGAATAATATCGCTTACTAAGTTCTTTCTCCTTCATTAAATCACTTGGTGTTCAGGATAATCCTCTGAGGATGGGCCACAGCTTCTATCTGGCTCAGAGACCAGCATGTAGGAGTGTTTCTGTAAAAGCTTGTGGGTTCAGTAGACCCATGGAGGTTTTCTTCATTTTCCAATTGATGCCACATATATTTCCTCATGCTCTGGTTTCTTCAGGCTTCCCTCATGCTTGTCAGTGGGAATAATCATCTCTGCTTTGCTGTCCTTCAGAGCCATTGTCTGTGTGAGCTTTTTCATCCAAACTACTTTCAGATGCTCTTGCCCTTTGAAAATTTTCCTCCCTTTTTTAAATGACTCCATGCGTAAAACTTAGAAAACAGAAATTCTCCCCCATGATACTATAACAAAGGCTATTCATGGTTAATTATTTTTTTATTAAAAAAATATTTTGACATCACTTCAGACTTTCAGAAAAGTTTTCAAGAATGGGACAAAGAATTCCTGAACACTCCTCACCTGTATTCCCCAGTTCCTAACATTTTACTACATTTGTTTCTTCTCTCTCACCTCTCTCCTCTCCCTCTCCATCTCTCTCTCTCTTTTCTGAATATGTTTAAGAAAAAGTTGCAGGCATTGTGCACCATTATATAAGCCAAAACACCTCAGTGTGTATTTTCTAAAAACAAGAAATTCTTTTACATAACCATACTATTATTTTTTTTTATTTCCATGTGTGCCCTTCTATGCTTTTTTCTATGCATACATTTATGTACTTATATTTAAATTAAGTAATGCATTATTTATATATACTTATAATGGCTTGCTCTTTTGGAGGAGTTAGCAATAGACTGTATATAATCTCATGCCAGTAAATATTCTACAGCATGATTCCTCAGCAGGCTCTGACTTTAGACACGATGGTTTCTGGGTGGCCCATTTTACCAGGTCACTCTGCTTCAGAGAAGGAACCATTCTTGTGTTCTTGCATGTCTAGTCACATATCAGTGGAAGCCACTGTATAAATGAGTAAAGAGGCAGGGTCCTGGAAAGCCTTGAATGCAAATTTGATCTTTATTCTGTAGCCAGTAGAGATCCAATGAAAGCTTTATAGCAAGGGAGAAAGCCAACAAGAGCTGGGTTTTCTGGAGATTATTTGCCAGTGTGTGCAGGAAGGAATGAAGGGGGAAGCAATCGGAGCATGAGTCCACAGGTCCCTTCGGTAAAATGATCCCTAGTTTCAAGGGCAAATCTCCACCTAGGTGGAACAGAGCCTTCTCCAGCATAATGCATCCTTCTCTTTCATGTGTCTTTCAGAACTGGTTAAAGTCATATGGCTATCTGCTTCCCTATGACTCACGGGCACCCGCGCTGCACTCAGGGAAGGTCTTACAGTCAGCAGTCTCCACTATGCAGCAGTTTTATGGGATCCCAGTCACCGGTGTGTTGGATCAGACAACAATCGAGTAAGATTCGCGTAGGGCATTATGCCTTCGAACTTTCCAGACATACATTTGAGTTCACATTTGTCGTGGCCCCACGTATGTACCATGCCCATCCTACCTTCCTATCTTTCACTCCTGCAGGATCATCCTGGGAGGGAATACCCCAAGGTGCCCCTTCCTATGTGAGCTGGGGAGGTACTCTGTCCGAAATTTGCTGTGTGATCTTGAACAAGTGTCTTATCCCTGCTGGACCTCAGTTTCCTTTTGAGCACAATAAGAGGTTTGGTTGGAGATGGTCTTAAACCTCCTCTGACTCTAATAACTTTTGGCTTTATGAATCACCCCTCTGGCATTCCCTGAGATGTACACATCTCACCTGATACAAAGAGCTCTTGAATGATCATGAGATGGTAGCTCTTGTTCCACTTTTTTCATTTATCAAATACTTGCTAAATGCCTACGTGTGCCAGGCACTGGACAGGATCCTACGATCTCTCCCCTCCAGAGGCTCACCGCATCGTGAAAAGTACAATCATCTAGCTGCACCAGTCTGGAACTCAGGAGGAAACACTTGTTTTCAGGGAGATACTTAGGAAGTAATAACAAAATGAGCCAGACCATGGGGACGGTCACATTTACTCAGGGGGGAGCACGAAGAAGAGGAAGGGACGGGTGCCGAGAATGGAATCCTCATGATGCAAGCTGAAGAGGAGCGGCCAGAGCAGTGAGGAAGCCAGGGGCTATGTGTCACGGTAGAGAAGCGGGGATGGTGAGCGGCCGGCTGCTGCAGAGTGATCACTTAGGAGATCCAAAAGTGTCAGCCGAGTTTAGCAGCCAGGAAGCCCTTGCAGGGTCAGACTGCAGGGGGCGGAAGGGGAGATGATGAGTAGAGATGGCAAGTGTAGGCAAGACTTTCTAGAAGCCTATCAGTGAAGGACAAACAGAAGGTAGCTGGAGGTGGGTGAATTTTTGTTTGTTTGAAGATCAGAGAGACTTAAGTATCCTCACATTTGTTTAGGAAATAGCCATAAAAGTCATTAAAGCAGCTGAAGGAAAGTCATTGCCCATTGCTGCAGTGAGGGCATGGCAGAGAGCCCAGGGGAGCTTCCCAAGGAGGCGGTGAGCGGTGGGGTCCTGAGCAGAGGTGGAAGCAGGGAGCAGGGCCCTATGAGGGGGTGTGGGGAGGTGGTGGGTGGGGAACAGAGAATCCAGCTGATTGTGGATCCAGGATCGATCCTCCCCCAGCCCCCGGAGGGTGAGTCACTCACTCCTTGAGAGATTCATCTCTCTGGGTCCCAGCTTGTTCAGTTACAAAGGGGGTGTTGGATTACGACTCTCAGATTCCAGATCCCATTATTCTAAGCTGTTAACATTTGGTGAGTCTGGGGTTTTACGATCCTATAATTCTGTAGGAACATTTTCTATTCCTCGGATTCTCTGACTGCAAGATTGTGAACTTCTGAGACAATATGTTTGACCGCTGCTATGGTATCGTGAGGACAGTGGAAGCCTTGGCCCTGTGGCCTCGTGTGGCCTCATGAGTGAGTTGGTTGAAGACAGCCCGGCCGCCTTTCAAAGTGGAGGTTATTTTGAGGGCTTTGTGCAGGCTTCATGGCAGTGCGTCCTGGGGCAGGAGCACTGATGTCTCTGCTGAGGCACCACCTGGCCTTGGGTTTTACTCTGTTCCAGAAAGCCCCAGGCCTGTTGGACAGGGTTCAGAGAGCGGCAGGTGGACGGAATGATCTGAGGGAGGAGGATGGCATTTCCCACTTGCATTTCTGCCCCCACTTTTTTGTAGGAAGACGGGGGGAACGCTGTTTGGGAGGCACGAGAAGGGAGAATGCACTCATGCTTAATCCCAGACCTGAGTGGGGAGGCTGTTTCGGGGTAGAGTTTAGAGACCTTAGTTTCCCTTCCAGCTCTGTGACCTTGGGCAGTCACTGCCTTTCTCTGGGCCTCTTTCCTCCCTGGGGGCCCTTCCAGGTCTAGCTCAGCCTTGCTGTAGCAGAGGTAGCTCCCCATTCTTCCCAAGGACTGTCAGTGAAAGAAAGCGAGATTAGCGTTTTAAAGTACTAATTTTTGAGTGCCTACCTTGGGAAATGTTACACATTGTTCACCACTCATTCATTCCTTCATTCAACATATCCTGTAACCCAAACCTGTGCTAAGCACAGGCTTTTGTTTGTTTGCTTTTGTTTGTTAAATTGCATTCATTACTAGTTCATTTATTCATTCAACTAAGTTCCAGTCCTGCCTCAAAGCTGTATTTTGCAAGTTACTTGATTTATCTGTGTGTCTTTTCCCTCATCTGCAAAATTGAGGATAAATAGTTTCTGGCTACCTCACAGAGTTGTTTCAAGAATCAAAACATTTCTGGGGCGCCTGGGTGGCGCAGTCGGTTAAGCGTCCGACTTCAGCCAGGTCACGATCTCGCGGTCCATGAGTTCAAGCCCCGCGTCGGGCTCTGGGCTGATGGCTCAGAGCCTGGAGCCTGTTTCCGATTCTGTGTCTCCCTCTCTCTCTGCCCCTCCCCCGTTCATGCTCTGTCTCTCTCTGTCCCAAAAATAAATAAATGTTGAAAAAAAAATTTTTTTTAAATAAAATATCCTACCCTAGCCTTTTTTTTTTTTTTTTTTTTTTAACGATGTCCCAGACTCACTAATCCCGAAATGTAACTTAACCTGACAACAAACAGTTATCAGGATTTACTTAGTTCCAGGCACTGGACTAGCTTCTGGGGACGCAATGATGAATATAATAACATTCCAGTCCTCAGAGAATTTGCCATTTATTAAAGATAATGGACTAATAGATTTAAAATCACAATACAGCACTCTAAATGCTGCAGAGAATTCTAAGTCTTACAGTCCTACAATCCTACACATTTTGAACATCTATAGCAAAAAGGAATTTGCTGTCTTACAAGCTATGCCATTCTACTTTTGGGTAGTTCTGATTGATTGATTGATTCATTCATTCATTCATTCATTCAACAAATCATTATTGAACATCTTTTGTGTCAGCCACTGTACAGGCAAGGTTCCTATCCTCATGGAACTTAGAATCTGCTAAGAGAGACAAAGACTAAACAAAAAAGTGAATATATTATATCATTTCAGGCAATGACTAATGCTATGAAGAAAAATGAAGCAGGATAAGCAGATAGCGGCAGGATGGGAGGAGGAAGCTATTTCAGATAGGGTGGGCAGGGAAGTCCTCTCTAAAGGGGAACGTTTGAGCAGAGACCTTAATGAAAAGCAAACCATGTGAAGAAGAAGAAGAGCATCGCAAAGCAGAGGGAACAAAGGCCCTGAAGTGGGAATAATCTTAGCATGTGCAAGACACAGCAAGAAGGCCATTGTGGCTGGAGCAGAGTCTATGAGGGGGGAAGGAGGGTGAAGATGTTGTCTGACGTGTAGACAGGAGCTTGATTGTGTGCGTCCCTGTGGACCAATGTGAGGAGTTTGGATCTTATTCTAGGTGTTTGGGGGAAATCATTGAAGGGTTTTAAACCAGGGAGTGATGTGATCTAATTCCATTTACAGAGTATTTCCACATATACCCCCTCCTTTGAGGCTTTCTATAACCTAAGAACAGTGAGAGCTGTGATTCTCGTGTGGCAGAGGAGGAAACTGAAGTTCACAATGATCGTTTGCTTGGGCTCCTACAATTAGTGGTGGAGCTAGAACCATCAAGCCTGTGTCTCTGACTCCCAGGCTCTAATTCAGCCCTGTGTCGGCATAATCAATTGTAAATGAATGAATTAAGTAATCAGTCTATTGTGTTCCTGTGGGGGAACCCCTCAGAGCCAGGGCCCCAGAGTCTAGCATCAGGATGCACACTGCTATTTAGACTGCAATGCCTTCCTAGAGTGTCCAGTGACCACAACACGTGTGTGTGTGTGTGTGTGTGTGTGTGTGTGTGTGTGTCTCCTCTCTCTGCCCAGGTGGATGAAGAAACCCCGCTGTGGTGTCCCTGATCACCCCCACTTAAGCCGTAGGCGGAGGAACAAGCGCTATGCCCTGACTGGACAGAAGTGGAGACAAAAACACATCACCTACAGGTGCTTTGACTACCTCTCCTCTTCCGTGGCTTTGGCTCCACCCACACTCAGTTTTGTCCTGGCCTGAGTTTCAGAGGCTCACGCTGTAGGTGGGTCTGTGATCAGGGTGAGAGCCAAGTATGCGGGCATCAGGACCAGGTGCTGAAAGGCTATCACTTTGTCCCCCTTGTGGCTTCCAGAGGATGCCGTATCTCGAACTTCAGGTTTATTTGGTCCTTTGGGGGCTCATTAGCTGTGTCCTGTTTAGAGTCCTACAGTTTGAGAAAGTGGGATAGGGATTGTTCAGCAACTCTCAGCTGTGATAAAGAGCCATGGCTGAACTCACTCTCCCTATCACTGCTTGCCAAACCCCACTTCCTTTTATCTGGATCCCTTCTCCACTTAGCCTGACAGACTTCACCCAAACTTCCCAGCAGAGCTCCAGTTGTTAGCAGACTCACTCCTGAAGTGTCTGGGGAAACCAAGGGCTGAAGAGGATCAGCCTCCAAGTCAGACCAGTGACCAAGGACAGGGATGGCGGAGCCCATCACAGCAGACTCAGACAGCAGAATTCAGAGTAGGGCTGCAGGAAAGGCCAGGCATAGGGCAGGCTCAGCTGGGCTCTGGCTGGCACCTCTCAAGGCTCTGATTCCATCTCAGTGGATGCCTTGGGTTCCGGGGTAGGATCTAAGACAGAGATCCTGAAAGCTGAAGAATGAAGGGCTCTCCTGCTGATGAGCTATAGAAACCAGAACAGGCTTTTTCTAGAATTCTGACAAAAGAAGGAAACCCAAGAAGAATCTGGGTTAGAAACTGGATAGATCTTAAGGTCTCCTGAAGTGGTAAAATGAATCAAGAGAAAGAACTGGCTTCTAACCTTAACTTCTATTCCTCAACCTCTCTGGCCTCAGTTTTCTTACCTATAGAATGGGTGAATAATCCTTGCCCAGGTGTTCAGGAGGCAGAGCACCCAGGAGTAATGATGTTCTGCTATGGAGAACCATTCAATATGGCTGCTGTAACCTTCAATAGCTAAATCTATAACTGACGAAATCAGATACCACTCTATACCAATTTCCTAGGTAGACAAGCAGTAGACAAGTAGTTGGTGCCAAACATTTTTAAAAGGGATGTTTCACTTAAACCCTCCACTGCTTCAGTATTTCTATACCTTTTTAAATGTTCTATACATATGCTTTGTGTATTGGGAGAAAAACTTAAAACTTAGAAAATGCTATCCACGAACTTAATTTTTTTTTTCTGCACGCTCAAGTGGAATTCTGTTTTCAACACAAACTTTGTGAGAGTGCAGATACAAAACATTGATCACAGCAAAGCTGCTCTGATTGAGGCAGGGGTGGGGACCCAGAGCCTTGCCCACCTAGCCTCTTCTTCAACCCTTGGGATACCTCAGCAGAATTCTAGGGTTCAAAATGTGAAGATTACTGGTCCCTGTGGTCTCTGCTGTCCCTTTTAGCTCTGCAAGCCTCTGACTCTGACTGTTCCTCCCTAATGATCCTTTCTTCTCTTACCAGCATTCACAACTACACCCCAAAGGTGGGGGAGCTAGACACACGGAAAGCAATTCGCCAGGCTTTTGATGTGTGGCAGAAGGTGACCCCGCTGACCTTTGAAGAGGTGCCATATCATGAGATCAAAAGTGACCGGAAGGAGGCAGACATCATGATCTTCTTTGCTTCTGGTTTCCATGGCGACAGCTCCCCATTTGATGGAGAAGGGGGATTCCTGGCCCATGCCTACTTTCCTGGCCCAGGGATTGGAGGAGACACTCACTTTGATTCAGATGAGCCGTGGA